ACCTTCCCGCCTGCTCGAGCAGCTGGTACATTAACCTGAGCAGATGTGTTGTTGTACTATTGATAGAGCATTCTTCCACTGATTATTGTGACAAAGTATGAATCATTATTTTGCCTTGACAGGAATCATGGCACTGAGTGTCACTAGTTCATACTACGAAATGACAGAGATAGCAACCCGTATACTGCCTAACATTGTTGTCCTTACATTTGACCCAGACAGGTAAGTTAGAACCTTTAGCTCTAGCTGTCTCTAGTTTGTCATTGCTGAAATAGAAGACTGTGCTGGCCTAATCACTACTGCCTCCAGTTGTTACATATGTTGTTTTTAGACATGTTTGCCAAATACCATGTTGTGGTTTATTAGTGTTGTTTATTATGAGACTGTCCCTAATCACTCCCTTTAGCTGGAATTGCACTCTTACAGACTAGCACTCTTACAATACTGCCCCTACCTAACTCCCTTTTGTTTGAACTGCACTCACAATAAAGTGATAGTTTCCCCCTTTTAGCATTGCGTTTAGGGGCTGTAAGCCAGTTTTATGGATTACATTCTTTAATATAGCATCAAAATTAAAAAGCAACATAGGCATTTATCCCATCCATCGACTGAGGAAAACAGCTGTATTACACTTGTAAACTCACCTAATTTTATTATTGATGCAAATTCGAGCTCCCAAATTCCGTCTGAGTGGATGTTGCGTCCTATTTTAACAACCAAAGTGGTCAATGCCAAGATGGCAAAATGTGATGTGCATCACGTTAAAGCCTTCTTCATTTGTTCTTACTTTACTTTCTTGACTTGGTCTTTCAGCTAATCCATTCTTATTTTATTTATAGTGATGTGAGGACCAAGGCTTTCCAGGCTACTGACCAATTCTTGCAAATAGCAAAACAACATCATGAAAAGGTAGCATATCTAGTTTATCTGCCTACTATAAATCGACTGTTTTATTACACTAGCTATGAATTGTGGCACAATATGCTGGCTGTTAACTTAGTGTTGCAACATGTCCTTTTGTTTTCTTTATTTCAAATCTAATATGTACGTGTGCTATTTGTTTTTGTTACTTTGAAACCCACTTTTTAAAATTTCAAAATAGAAAGAACACATATGCTCAGGTGTACAAAATCCACGTCGTATGCATGTTTATTATCATTAACTCTTTCTTACATTTATTATTTCCTTGATCTGCCCGGATGTTGGCTGGTGAATGTACCAGATCTAGTAAAATAGAGGGAGTAGTAATGATACTTTAGTACTGTTGAGTTACTGCATCCTAGCCTAATTGTTCCAAAAATACATTCATGTATATATATAATTGCTGTGATAAGCATCTCTGCTGTGATGTTGCTAATACAACATATGTACCTCTACCCTTTTGTTTTATCAATGTTGCTCTTCTTATATTGTGATTATTTTTTTGCTTTGTTGTGTTTTATAGCTTAACACAGGAGACAACAGGGCAGCCGAAGGTACTGGTGTTCAGTTAAAGCCTGGAAATGCTAGTTTACTTGGGTAAGTTGTCATATGTTCCAATCATCATACGCAAGCTCGCTTATGTCTTTCAAGGTCCTACATGTACTGCAAACTAGAGTTTTCCTAACTAAGCTCGTTTTAAAACAGTATCTCTACTTGAATGCTTAGAATTGTGTCTAGAATGTGTTTAGAAATTAAAACAATCTTAGACTTCAAGATTTCTTATCTATTTGAAAACAAAAGTTTTGGACATATTAATATCAAACTGAACTTTCATAAACAAAGGAAACATCCAAAAAAATAATTGATTGTGGGAACCATGCTGTAAGCTATCGCTATCTCAGCTCCTCAAAAGGAAAAAAAATGCCTCTATACTATTTTACCAACAGGAAGGAAAAAAGAGGTCCTATCTTATTTATGTTAGGCCAACAGTGTATATGCACTTGCGATTTGAGATTAGATATATTAGTGATGCATAGTGTTGTCCACTTTTGCTGTGGTCATAACTACATGTACACTATCAAATGGCGCTTGATTCATGGCTGCAGCACACAATTTTTTTTTTTGTTATTTCTCCCTCTACTTGTGCTGATGCTTAAGCGGTTGGTGAATGTAGTTATTTAGTACTCCATCTGTTCACTATTATAAGATGTTTTGGATATTTCAATATGGACTACATACGGACTGAAATGAGTGAACAAACACACGAAAATGCGTCTATATACATCCGACTCCGAAAGAAAGTTACTCCCTCTGATCCGAATTAAATGATGCAGCCTCTATACAATGTCCATTTTACGTTGTATAGAGGCCGCGTCAATTAATTCGGATCGGAGGGAGTAGAACATCTTATAATAGGGAACAGAGGGAGTATACATATCAACTCATGTAGCAGATGCTGCTGAATATGTCTGATGCTAGCATGCTTGCTAGGAAACACCCACTTCTAAAGGCAACCGTGTCAATTTTGCGCTGCATTGTGCTGTGGGATCTAATAACGTCCATTAACCTTTGAAAACTAGGACACTGATAATTTTCTTGCTTGAAACTAACTAGTTGCTGTATACAAGAGCAGAAACTTAGCTAGTTTTTTACTTAGCCAAATGAAGCCTGAATGATGTATGCGTCTACACTTGTACTGGAGCTATCTTTACGCCTTTTCAGTTTATCTTTAGAATTTTCTGGTTTTGTATGCAATTGATTTATTACTTACTAGAAAGCGTACATATACAGGTGGGCCATGAGTTCTATTACTCAGAAGGGAAAACCTTCCGACCATGGCCCAGTATCTACTGCAAATGCCAGTAACTCTCAAGTTTCAGCACCCCCCAGTACCACCTCAGGTATTATTCATTTTCTAAATTTCTTAAATCCTCGGGAGCTTTGATCTCAGTTTTCATCACTTCCATAAACCTGGAGGGCTTATGAAGGTGACAAGGTGTAATTTTGTGGGATGAGGATTAACAGAAGTTATAGATGTGTTACATTGCTTGTGAATCCTTATGTTGGGTATTATATTGTCACAGCTACTCACTCTGCCCCAGCAGCATATGCACCAGCAGCCGCTTCCAACTCTTTTGATCAAACTGCACCAGCATCAGCAAGCTCATCTATGGATGGATGGGGTGAGCTCGAGAACGGTAACCAGGAAGAAAATGGTAGTGATAACGAAGGATGGGATGATGTAGATCCATTTGAAGAGAAGTCACCGCCATCTCTTCTTTCTAACATACAAGCTGCCCAGAAACGTCCGGTGGTGCAACCGAAGCAACCAAGTAAGTTTTACATTTCTGTCGTGGTGCATTTGTATCTCAAGGAAGGACATATGCATCTCTGTTAAAACACTTATTTGCTAATTTATTTTCTCAATTCAAAAATTTCAACCATAGTTCCAAGTTCATCAAGATCAAATCAGCCAGCGGCACCAAAAGCAGAGGAGGATGCTCTATGGGGCCCTACGGCTGTTCCAGCACCCAAAATCGCACCGAAGTCTGCAGGCATCAAACCCTCGGTATCGCACAATGATGATGATGATCTCTGGGGTTCAATAGCTGCACCTCAGCCAAAATCATCTGGGAAGGCTTTGAAGCCTGCAGCAGCGAATAATGACGACCTATGGGGTGCCATTGCAGCACCCCCGCCGGCAACCAAAGCTAGGCCTCTGGCGTCATCCAGTAGGGGTCGAGGAGCAAAGCCAGCACAACCAAAACTTGGTGCTCAAAGAATAGGAAGGACCTCCTCAACTGGCATGTAGAGTGCCATGATACAGTTGTTGTACAAGGATGCAACTTTTTCTCCTTTTCTTTTGTCCTTGATGTGTCTAGGAGATCCTCTTTGTAAACTAGCCCAATCATTTATACGACATGAACATTGCTTGAACTCTGCCCGTTGTATAATATCACAATTGTGTAATATGGTGGTAGCTCAGGAAATTTATGTACATCACAGGTACAGTGCTTGAACTGTGCCATCAATATATGATTTTGCCTTTGTTTTCCTGGGCTTAGATTTGTTTGGACGAACCAGACAAGGTTTCTACTACAGATCTTCCAAATGATCGTCTGGATTCATCTAAGAATAGTTCTAAAATTTTGGTGTTGCATGTCGATAGCCTGTGACCAGCATTGTGCAATTTTACGATGATATGTACTCCTGTCAGCAGCTACCACCGTTGCTTTCTATGATGAACTGGGGATGAACATGCAGCTCTAGCTTCCATGTTGGAAAACCGCCCGAAACCATCACCAGCCTGTTGCAAGCAACCACATATCTCAGCTTATAACACAGCATGAAATTGTTCACCGTATTAAGATGCATACTCAGCAACAATTTGTGGGTTAGGAAATTGTTTGCAGTAGCTGTCAGTAAGCGCAGCACCCAGTAGGTGCTGTTGCAACAAAGCATAGATCACACTGAGCTCAACCAACGACGGACAGTATATCGAAACCTGACGCCGCTGCTTTCCTGGTGTGCCTGATCTTGTTATCCTGGCAACCATCAGTGCACTAGAATGGCAAAAATAGTGGATAGCAACATGACTGCAACGATTCCAATGACAAGAATACAAAATTGTCTACAAAATCGACTCACACCAGTGGAATCAATAAAACTCTAAAATTGGCGCGCGCATGAAACATAAAGCTCAGCATCATGGTCATTTTTTTCCTTTGCCCTTCCATCAACCCTTTCCTGATGCAAAAGATGGCGGTTCATTCTTTATATTTGACTAAACAACCGACCTGAACCATGCCAACGATGCAGAACATGCTGATCATCGCTGGTGTACTCTGAACCACATCTGGTAAAAAAATCTGGCATTGTCTCAAACAGGGCCGGGTAATTCCTCGTAGAAGGTCCAAGGGCGTGGGTGGAGCATCGCATTTCCACAAGCAATTGCATGAGGGGCAATGCCAATTGATCAGGAGTAGACTGCAAGCCTCGATAAAGTTCACACTTTGTTCTACTGGCTGTCCAGCACCAGGATAACCATCCATGAACCGGGTTCGATCTGAGAGTACTGGTCAACCTAACAGCGAGTCCATCATGCCCGCTGTTGATCCAGCCCTCCACTTTTCTCGTAGCTAGAGTGGAAGGACAGTAGTAGCATAGTCACCAAGCCTGTTCCAGTGCAGTGAGCACTGAAGATCCGGAGTGAAATATTCTTTTCTCCTAACAGGGAGCACCAAATTCTTCACCAGTAGTCTTTGCAGGAGCATGCTCCACCTTCGAAGCGATGGAAGCGGCTCGCGTCCCTGACGAGAAATGCCCGGTTGGCAATTGCAGAGACCGCCTTCAGGAAAGAGTGGCAGTCCCCACATACCCTTAGGTTCTTGATCACCACAATCTCACTGTCATCAGTGTTCAGCATACCGAAGGCCACAGCGAGCTTCTCACTGTGAAAGCCGATCAACGGCGCAGCCATCTTCCCAGAGTACCCCTCGTCCACTCTGCCTTGCCCAGTTTCCACAGTGCCATCTGTTCTCTCCGTCACCATTTGTTCAAGCTTAATCACGAGCTCGTAAATCCTCTTTGCCTGCGGATGTGAGTGGTCGTCAGCCATGAAGAGATGAACCCTCCCCTTGTTTTCGACATAGCTGCACCCAGGCTCCTTCTTGAGCCCACGCTCCCTCATCATCGCACGTACCCTCACCACACCCTCCAGTTGTCCTGTGTCTGTGTATATGTTTGCCATGAGCACATAGTAGCCGACATTGCTCGGTTCGAGCTTGATGACATGCTCGAAAGCCTCCTCCCCTATCTCCACATTCTTATGTATCTTGCACGCCCCAAGAAGGGCACCCCACACCGCACCGTCGGCTGGCATGGGCATTGAGGAGATGAGTTCTTGTGCCTCCTTGAGACGGCCGGCCCGTCCAAGGAGGTCCACCATGCAGGTGTAGTGCTCCAGTGTAGGCCGCAACTGGTATGTACTCTCCATTGCTGAGAAGTACTTGCGCCCCTCCTTGTACATTCCAGCGTGGCTGCACGCCGACAAGAGGCCGACCATTGCGACATTATCTGGCCGGATGCCTTCTGACACCATCGCCTGGAAGAGATTTACAGCGACATCGCCATGCCCGTGCATGCCGTACCCAGTGATCAGTGCCGTCCAAGACACAATGCTCTTCCTGGGCATTTCGTTGAACAGCCGCTGTGCCTGGGGCAAATTGCCGCAGCGTGCATGGAAGTTGATGAGAGAGTTGCAGAGCTGCATGTTGGCACGGAAGCCTGGGAGTCTCTCTTGCATGTAGCGTTCGACACCCAGGCCTACACCGCGGGCTCCAAGGTGGGCACACGAGGAGAGCACGCTCACGAGCGTCACGGCGTCTGGCTCCACGCCGCCGCCATCGTGGCCACACATGCGGCTGTAGAGATCAAGGGCGTCCACTGCGAGGCCATTCTGCGCGTGGGCTGAGAGCACGGCGTTCCACGAGACGATGTCACGGGAGGTCAATGGCATCTCGTCAAACACCTGCCGGGCAAGGCCAGCGCCGCGGCGCGCGTATGCTGATATGAGGCAGTTGGCCACGTTTGTCTGGGCGGCCAGCCCTGCTTTCCCCACGAGGGCATGGAGCTGCGGCACGACGCTCTGAGGAGCGGCGGGGAGCAGCGTCATCAGCGTGACGGCATCGAAGGGGGCGCTGGCCGCCCGCATGCGGCGGAAGAGGGCGAAGCAGGCGGCCGGGAGCGCGTGCAGCGCGCATCCGGAGATGAGGGAGTTGAAGGCTGTGCGGAGCGTGGTGGGAGGCGTGGACGCGAGGGGCATTTCGTCGAGGAGTTGGTGGGCGCGCGGGAGGAGGCCGAGGCGGGAGTAGGAGGAGAGCAGCGAGGAGAGGAGGTAGGCGTCGGAGGAAGGGAGCAGGCCGCGCTTGCAACCGAGTGCCTGTATCTGGGCGACGCCGGAGACCAGGGATAGCGCCGTGCAGGAGATGACCGCGGCTGGTAGCGCAAGGGCGTGCGGCGGCGGCGAGGGGTCGCCGTCGCGGAGCAGGGCCAGGACCTCCCGGTGCCGGCCGAGGCGCGACAAGGTGCGCACGCGGGCGCTCCATGGCTCCGTGCCGTTAGCGTCGCCTGCTAAGGCGGCGGCGGTGGAGGTCGCCGCGGAGGTGGAAGGCTCCGTGGTCATCTTTAGCCAGCACAAGCCGGGAGTTTTTTTTTTTGTTTTGAGTAAATTTTGAGGGGACGAGATTATCCCGGCCTAGTTGCGAAACGGTGCCTCCCTCCGAGGGCCCAGGTCGCTGGTTAGCTCTTGGCGGCCCAACAAGGCCCAGGTCGCCTAAACACGTGATTCCCTTTATGTTTTGGCTCTCGTCGGCTCTAGAACAGCGCATTTTCTCCAACCTCAGCAACTCCTCGCGCCGCCGCCGCCGCCTCCTCCACGCCGGCCTCCCAAGGCATGCCACCCCCCCTCCCGTCCTCCCCATCCCGCCGCCGCTGTCGCCTCCCGATCCGATCCGCCCAGCCCCTCCTCCCATCCCGCCCAGCCCCGCCGCCTAAGTATGTGTTACAATCTATAACAACTCTGGTTATGCAGGTTGCGACGATGGCGCTGCTAACCAATGTTTCTGTGGATCAAATGGAACAGCTCAATGAGGGTTTTGCCTCTGGATTGGACGTCCTTCAGCAAGCTCTGCATACCGTATGTCGGACTCTTCCACTCTATATTCTTACTTTTTGTCCACTCTATGCTTAATTTGTTTCTGGTTTCAGATCAACAAGCTCGTTGAAGCGGCACAAGAGTGGCCGACGAGTGGCCGACGTTACAGCTCCAACAGCTGACGGAGAAGCTTGAAAGAGAAGCCCATTCCAGAGCTGACTTGGAGAAGGAGCTTGACAAGGAGAGGAAGACCAAGGCTCTTGTGGAGGAGGAGGTTGACAAGGAGAGGAAGGCCAAGGCTCTTGTGGAGGAGGAGCTTGACAAGGAGAGGAAGGCCAAGGCCACGTACAAGCAGCAGATAGCAAAGAACCAAACTGAAGCGAAGAAAAGGAAGAGTGATATGGCCACTATCTGAAGCAGACAACAGCCGCATCCAGCAACAATTAAAAGCAGCAGGTTAAAACAATTATTTTGACTCGTACGTGTTTTTTTTTCTGTAGTGCTTAATTCTTATAGGATGTAGTTTAGCTTCACACATTTGCTACTATTGCAAGTATCCACATGGGCGTGCTTAGGCTTTTGGCAAAATCTACTTTCTGATGAACTGTGAAGTGCTGAATACTTGTCAAGCATGTTGTTTTATTTTAGTGAGAAGCAACTGACATGCCTTGCTATCTTTGGACTGCATGTATATGACTTCTTTCCTGAAGATGTTCCATTGGCTGTGCGTAATTGTTATAGGATGTAGTTTAGCTGAGTAAAAATGTACAGAGAGATGTACAGCCATAGTCCGATTCTGGGTGAGTAAACAAATATGTCCAGTCCTACAATCACATACTTGTTATCACCATGGCACTTGTTATTTGTGACCTCTAGTACAGAGAGTTTTATGTGCTGTATTTTTTTGAATGATCACAAATTATCCCAGTTAAGACAAGTTATATAATTCAGAATAACAACAAGTTTGCCCTTTTTTTTGAATGATCACAAATTATCCCAGTTAAGACAAGTTATATATTTCAGAATAACAACAAGTTATATAATTCAGAATAATTGCGCTCAAACTCCATTGGGGCCGATCCTGCTTCTCTACCACGGGATTCGGTTGGTGTGTAGAAGAATTGGCCTTGAGGAGCTTTTAGCAACTGCAGACAAGTTAACATCTGCCCTTTTGAAACTTGTAACACCCGCGGATCTGCGGCATTGTTCGTTGGCCACTTGAGTGGCCACTTGACTCGAACGAGCGGCCAAGCTGAGAGTAGAAACTGCATCTTGGCAGGAAACTTCTTCCTGTATCAACCATGAAGTGATAAGAGAAGCAAACAGCCACAAGTAATGGTAGCTTAATATATTCTGGACCACATGTTCTGTTTACTTAACAAAGATTCTCTGCTCAAGAGGGGGTGGAAAGGGCCCAAAGAATGTGTATTGTGTGGTAAAGATGAATCTGTAGACCATTTGTTTTTTTTCATGCTCTGCTGCCTCTCTTCTGTGGAGTTTAATTAAATGTGCCTTTATCTTTGATCTATGCCCAGTTCAGGTGTGAAATGTTTTGGCAGGTGGATTAAAACTTTTGCTAAAAATGATCAGAAACTTGCTATGGTTGGCGTGGGTGCTTTGATGTGGACTGTTTGGAAATGTCGCAATGCCGTTATATTTGATGGCAAAAAACGTAATGATCCTATGAATCTTGTTCAGTCTATGACATACTGGATTACTTCTTGGTCTATTTTACAGACAAAGGACCAAGCAAGAAAAATGCTGGAGCTGGGGTCAAGACTTCTCGAACAGGTGGCAAGTGAGGTTTACAGGGCATCACAAGGATGGAGGATCAACGACGCGAGGATTCAAGCCTGAGGCTGCTTTGGTGGTGTGGATTTGTCTCCACAGGCGCTGATCTCCTTGTAATAGGTCTAGTCTGCTTGTTGATGCCTGTTTTGCTTAGGTGACACTCCTGTTGTGCGCTCCCTGGTGGTGGCTTTTGTTTAGAGGGCTTAACTCCTGCGTTGGATCTTATTACTTTCGGCTTTGTTAGTTAGCTGTTTGCTGCGTTTTTTGTTTGTGTATTTAGTTCTCATGACTTGCAGCTTTGTCAGGGGTTGGGTGTGACATATGCCAAGAGATGACTTATCATGATGGGAGCGAGTAGAACGTCGCCGGTGCCCGGAAGCGGGATGAGGCGTAGACACGAACACCGGCGTACTTTACACAGGTTCGGGGCTCTCCTAGGAGATAACACCCCTAGTCCTGTTCTGTGGGGTCTCCGCATGATCACTAAGGCACTAGTGAGTACAATGGTGCTCCTCGAGCTGTATGCTAGAGGTAGAAGAAAGCAGAGTTAGCTCTCTCCTCTCTCTATGTGTGAGTCTAGGTCTAACAGGTTGGGAACCCTTTGCATGGGTGCCCTGGGGGGTTTATATAGGCCTACCCCCAGGGGTACAATGGTAATCTGGCCGGGTGTAGGACCCGACTGTCAGTGTCTCCTGTCGCCGGCTTCTTCGCCGGCCGCTGGGGCCCGCTGACTGGTCTGGTGCGGAGCCGACAGGCCGCCTCTGCCGCTTGCGGGTCTGGCCGGCTGCTTGTTACTGTAGCCGTAATGCTAATGACGTATGCTTGGTCGGAGGGGGGGAGGGGGCGTGGCTACAGTCCCACCGTCTGGTGGGAGATCACTGTAGCCACATTGTGTCTTCTCTGGTTAATGGCGTGCGAACTTCGAGGGAAGAGGGGGTCGCCTGCTAGAGGCCGGCCTCCCTCGGGTCCGACTGATCAGGCTCTGTCGCCTTCCGATCTCTCGCTGCCTGGTAGGGCCCGCCGCCTGCAGGCCGTACCGACAGGCCGTCGTGGGAGCAGGGCTCCGCCTGACAGGGGTGACGTAAGGGTGGAGCGGTAATAGTGCCGTCCTGTGCGGAGATCTTCGCCTGTACGGGGCACTGTGGCCGCGCCGTGCCCTGGATATGGGGGTGATGGGCTATACTGTAGCCACACCCTGTCTTGTCTTCTTAATGGGGGTGCAGACTTTGAAGACGTCATGGGCCGCCTGCTAGGAGCTGGCCTCTCTGGAGGCCGCCTGCTAGGAGTCGACCCGTCTTGAGGCCGTCTTCTGGTGCTTGTCCGTCTTCTGGCAGCCGGCCGCATGAGCCAGCCGGCCACCAGAAGGCGGCGCTTTATCCTTGATGCTTGAGGGGCGCAGCCGGCCTCGATGTCTTGAAATGGTCAGGGACCTGGGTTAGGCTACCCGTGGCCCATTACTCCGACAGTAGTCCCCGAAGTTGGTGAGGCGTCGCGGCTGATAAGTCGAGGTGCCTCAGCAGTTTCCTTCTCCGAGTGCTCTTGTTGAATGCTTTGTCCGTCTCCTGGTATGCAGCCTGCTGGGAGCCGACCGCGACCAGGCGGGCTCGTCTGATAATTTTTGAAACGCCAAGGCGGGAACCAGGTGGCATGCTTGCTAGGCCTCTAGGCCCGCCGCCCGCTGCGAGCACGCCACACGGCACCAACTAGCCGGGTCAGCCTGCCAGCCCACACGCACGATGGGACGCGACAGCAGGCTAGGCCCGCCATTACTGGGCCTCGGCACGCGAGCGGATCCGCTGCGGCCGAGGCGGGCGGTTGCGATTCTATGCGGAGTTACTGCGCGCAATAATCTCGGGGTCGTGGGTGCAGTTAATCCCACGATCCCACTCCCCGCCCCCTCGGCTTCATAGCCCAGGGGCTATAAGTAGGGGGAGGAGGGAGAGAGACAGAGCACATGCGCCCTCCTCTCCCTTTGCCATTTCCATCCTTCTCCTCCTCTTGCTGCCGCCACACTCCTACGCTTTGCCGAAGCACTGCCATAGCTCGTCGCCATCGATCTCCTCCGCCCCAAACCTCTTGCTTCGCCGCGGTCTTTGCCCCACCGCCGCGCCATCTCTCCGTCCATCCTGAAATCCATGGCGCGCGAACGGGGAGGGGATTGGGACGGCTTGCTCGTGATCGACGACCATCTCGCATTCCTTCGCGCCACACGGCGGCTGCCCGGCGCGGGCTTCGTCAAGGTGCGCGTGCCACCGAAGAAGGAGATCTCGCCGGCGCCGACAGGAGGCGAGCGGGTTATCTTCCGCTTGCACTTCCTCCGCAGCTTCGGCCTGCCGGCAAGTGGGTTCCTCCGTTCCTTCCTTGACTTCTATCATCTCCAACCTCATCATCTGACGCCCAACACCGTGACATTGCTGTCCGCCTTTGTCACGATGTGTGAGGGCTACCTCGGCATCCTCCCCACCATCGAGTTATGGGGAGCGTTCTTCTACACCAAATTGGGCACCTCTGCCAAGGAGAAGGCGGCCCAGTGCGGCGCCTTCGTCGAGGTGCGCCGTCCGTCTGCGAAGTATGCCTTCCCCGCCATCAAGCTGTCACAGTCGGTCAAACTGTGGCAGAAATCATATTTTTACGTGGAGAATGTCGACCCGGCCATCGACTTCATCAACCTGCCGCCCTACGAAGCCGGCCCTCCGGCCGAACCTCGGGCCAACTGGGGATACAAGCCGAAGCCCATGTCGGCCGACGCCATCGCTGCCGTCAACCGGCTCCGGGTGCTTACTGATGAGGAAGGCCTCAAGGCGTCCAACCTGCTGGTCGCGTTCGTCGTGCGCCGGGTTCTCCCGCTCCAAGGCCGGCCTCATCTGATCTGTCGGATGAGCGGGCACCGCGACCCGAGCCGGATGTGTATGAGGGACATGCCGACCGCTGAGGTTGCCCGTATGGTGAACGAGATCTCCGACCTCAAGCTGTCAGAAGGGTCTTGGCGGTTCGGCAAGCGGCCATACTGCCGCGCCAACCCGCCGCCTGCTGTAAGTTCTTCAACTCTTTCCTTTTTAGTACTTGCCTTGGTTCTGGTCTTGAATAGTCGGTCTTTTGAACGCAGATCTACATGTCTCCGGTGACGGCCGCCGTCGTGGGGCCGGGTGGAGGCTACCAGCCGGACCGAGAGGTGAGCGACGTGAACGACCCCGACTTGGGGGCAACCGCCCTGGAAGACGACACCATAGGCGGCGGCGATGTAGCAGGCGGCTCCGAAGAAGGAGGCGGCCTCGAGACCTGGCCCAATGATGATGATGATGAGGACGAGCCGCGCCATGCGCGAGGCACCTGCAAGGCGGACGTGGGCCCCCCCACCGAGCCGGTTGCTCAGGAAGGCACGCGCAAGCGTAAACAAGGCGCCGTCTTGTTCGGCAGCGTGATGAAGAAGACCAAGAACCCGACTGCCACGACCAGGCGGAAGGAGGCCGCCGCGAAGGCGGCCAAGTTCCAGAAGCTTCCGAAGGCGCCTCCTATGGTGTCGGCGTAAATATCTTTTCCTTGCGCTTTCTTTTCTTGTTGGTTCCGCCGGAGCTTCCTTGCTTTATTTTTCTTGACTTAGGGCCCCGCTCTCTCTTGAGAAGT